AAAAGTTTTACGACTACTTGTACGCACGCAGATTTACCCTAGTTACCGATCACAAACCGCTCTACCACATTTTTAGGGAAAAGAAAGGTATACCGGTTTACGCGGCAAATAGACTCCAAAGGTGGGCGTATGTACTAACAGCATTCGTTTTTGACATTTCGTACGTTAAATCTGAGAAAAACGCGGCGGATTACTTATCGCGCATTATAATAGGCACGGCAGATAGAGAATTAACGACGCCGTGGTGTCTTAATTTTATTTATGACGATTGCCCGTTTAACGTTAATTGGGTCAAAATAAAAACACAAACACGAGTCGATAAAACCTTATCTCAGGTAATTAAGGCTATCAACATTGGTGAGTGGCCCATACACGCGGATAAAAACGAGCTGCTTAAACCGTATTACACACGTCGTCACGAAATCTCGACCGAACAGGACTGTTTGATGTGGGGGTACAGGGTGTTTAATCGACCGCCCGGATATCTATAGACGGGTTGGGTCGGATTATTAGCGTGGTTCAATTTTTAAAGGATTCTTAAGATAAAAAGGGATAAAGTGGACTGTATGTTATGGAGATAAAAGACGGTACTAAACAATAAATAAATATGTAGAAATTAAATGCAATAAAAGTGTATGTATTAACAAATGATAATATTAATGTAAAACTATTAAATAATGGGGACAGAGGGGAGAATACTTATAATCTAATGCCACCCGGCGCAACAATATAGAACAACAAATATATTATAATAGACGGTACTTATCGACCATTGATTATTTGCACGTGTTGACGTTGATTCGATGATGACAACACATATGAATCTTCCGACACACACACCACCGGTCGGCTGGGCGAGCTAATTATGCACCAGGGTGCATGCGAATCGCATGGCCGATTTTATTATAATGCGTACGGAGGTACGAGCGAATCGCTAGGGCGATTTCAACAAAACACGACTATGTGTAGTCCGGGCGAATCGCTAGGGCGATTAACTATAATGCGTACAAGGGCACGCGCGAATCGTTAGGACGATTAACAACACAAATGATTTTTTTGCTAATTAGCGACCATGAGGCGAAGGCTAATATGGCGGCGATGGACATCGGCGCTCGTGTCGGGAACCAAAACGTTCGATGCGCACACCGGGCAGAAGAACGAGCGAGAGTGTCGAAAAGCGTTATATTAACTCTATCCCGTAAACCGGTGGTGGTGGCACAGACAGGGTGGCCAATTCACCACATACGTGTGTGTGTGTAAGCGGATCCAACACAGGGTAATTATACCAAGTAAATTCCGGGTGACCCTATTAGCAGAATTGCACTCTACGCATGCAGGGATGAGTTGTATGAAGGCGATCGCGCGTTCTTATTTTTGGTAGCCTAAGATTGACAGCGACATCGAGAATATGGCACGCAATTGCGAAAATTGTATGCAGGTTAGACCCGCACCGCCGAAGGCAGTGCTAACGCCATGGAAATGGCCGGAACACGCGTGGACGTGCCTACATGTAGACTTTTTAGGACCTTACAAAAATAAATTTTTTTTAGTCATAGTAGACGCGACTTCGAAATGGCTCGAAGTGTTCGAAGTAAGCGCATGTACGGCGACAATTGTCATTTTAAAAATGCAAGAACTTTTTGCACGTTTTGGAGTCCCTAAGGTTATTACTTCCGATGGAGCTAAGTGTTTCACAGGAACGGAATTCAGTACGTTTTGCGCCAACGGCGGCATTAAGCATTTGGTAGGGGCCCCGTTTCATCCGCAAACGAACGGATCACCCGAATCAGGGGTCAAATTAGTTTAATTTAGTTTGACATTTTTTTAAGAAAAATAAAACCACCAGTACGACACAAGTGCAAAAATGTTTATTATTTTATCGCAATACACCGCACTCGGCCACACGCCAAACACCGGCGAAATTATAACTAGGTCGTAATATTCGAACACAATTCGATACCCTAATCCCTAGTACAAAGGACGTGGTTAATGATCACCAGAATTCCCAAGTGAAACGTCACGGAAAACGGCAGCTCGAAATTAGGCAGGGAGACACAGTGGCCGTGCGTGATTACCAAAGGGGGGATAACAAGTGGTCAATGGGGACAGTATCAAACACCGTGGGTAAACACGCGTTCGAGGTAGTTCCGAGGCGGGCACGTGGAAGCGACACATAGACCAAACCATTAAAATACCAAATAGGGTCCTGGGGGTACCCGAAGACGAAGGTCTTGGTAGTTCGTTCGAACCAAGGGAGGTACAAGTTCAGGAGGTGGTCGAGGATGACGTAGACGGGGGAATTATGACTAGCTCGACTGGACATTCTCGTCCGGTTAGAGTCAGGAGATCGCCTGATCGCTATAAGTCGTTAGATTTTAGAAAATAAGACGATAATTGTTATTTTTTTGTTTAAATTAGTTATAAGCACGAGCCTTGTTATTCTTAGGTATAAATTATGTGTAAATATGTGTAAATTACTATACAAAGAGATAGCATTGTTTTTAGTTGTATCTTTGTTCATTTTATTCGCACACCTTCTCAATCATGATTAAAATGTCTTATAAATAATTGTAAATAATTACTTGTCATTGCTGTTATAGCGTTTCATAATAAACGTCTTTTATTAATCCTAAAGTTGAGTTGTATTCTTTAACAATTAAGTATACAACAAATATAATAAAAATGTTATCGGGAATATTTTAGCTAAACCAATTTTCTCGTAGAAAAAATTGAAAAACATACAATTTAAATAGTCCGGTATACCGTAATGTAAGTAAAATTTGGTATCTATTCACTTACGTCTTCGTCATTCTCCGCGTACTTCTCTATTGTGATTCTGCCCTCATTACCATTTTCTTTTCTATAATCCTCAACTAACTTAACGATTTTGTGGATATCGCTTTCACTTAATCCCAAGCTCTGCAAAACATCATATTAAATGTTATCTAATAATATAGGTCATTTAAAATAACTAATATAATTTCTGTTTTAGGCATGACTTTTTTTCTAATTCTTAATTTTATAATCTATGTTTTACTTACCGGCACTGCCGTAAAAAAGTATATAGAGATGATAAGAGATATTTTGAAATACATATTGTTTTAATTTATTTTAGTACTTTAGCGAAAATTCAATTACGTGTAAAATAAAATAACCATAGAACTGAGTACAACAAATTCGACTAAATCAATGTGTTGTTTTTGTAGATGCAAGGTTGCGGTAAAAATATAGGAGACTATGTTTTAAATAATACAAACTAATAAAATAAACAAAAAAACACATGTGACACGAATACAACATAAATGCTTCAAGAAACTATATTATGAAAACAATAAATCCAACAAATACAAGTACAAAATAACCTAGTTATTTTCACAGCACCACGGAAAAAACATTGAATCATGGATAATATGTTTTAGCATTATAGGTCCTTATAACCATAACGATTTCTAGTACCTATCTAAGATGGCTAGTATATTAAAACATATAAAGTTTCTGGCTAATATTTTAGTGTTTAATACCTGGCTTCAAACAATTTATCAAAATATGACCTCTTCAATTATTGAATTTATTTTAGTTCAGTTCATATTGCACGTTGTGAATACAACATATATCAAATGGGCTCTATTTTCTGGTCGTTCAAATTGATTCTACTTGACAAAAATAACAAATTATTGATTTAAATTTGTTTTTATTACATCAAAATATTTAAATTGGTTAGGTTGAATTTCCATGTAATGTAAGAGATAGTTTTCCTTATTTCTTGGCTGAACGTGTAATAACTTTTTCTACAATGTGATTTGGAATACAATATGTCATTGTTCCTTATGTCGATTTATCAAGTCGTCTTTAGGATCTTATGTTTGCAAAATAATATCTAACAGCCATGTAGGTTCATCTTACTCTTCTATTATTGGCTAGTCGCCCATCCATAACTGTACGTACATAGTTAAACGTAACAGGTATTTGAAAAAATAAATAAAACCTTAAAAATATTATATTTTTATTATTATTTATTCAAAATACGAGACAAGACAAATGTACAAAATATAATAATTCAAATTTAGAAGAAATAATAAAATAACATATTATAGTAAAATAGTAAATTATTAATAACGTTGTTATAAAGTTGTAGTCTTGAAAAAGAACTCTGCAAGATTGCTATTCTATATATTCCCCTTAACATTTGTTTCTTCCAATATCGAAGTTGGGAAACTTTTACCAGTTCTATATGTTACAAGCCTACACATATATGTATTAATATTATATAATACTCAATGTAATATAAAGCCTAGCACTTTATTTACATACTATACATATTAATTAACATATTTTAATTTTCACCTTGACAGCATAAAAATTTAATAAAATATATAACATTTAGAATTTGTTTTTAAATTTTAACTACTTAAAAATTTGAAACAAAAATGTTTAAAGTTATTATAAAAAATAACACTTTAATTATAATTGTTTAGTTAAAAATGCGTTTCAATGTCATAATTATTCATTAAGTAACGTGTTCGTCAACTTAAGGTGTTTTTAAAATAAATGTACAGAATATAGCATTGCCCAAAACCAAAAATTATCTTAAATTTTTTTTCTTCATTTTTACGTTTTATAGAACTATTTGAATAGGATATATAAGTTAGAAGCATTTAGAAATTCCACTCACACGCACATCAGGTGATTTGGAATGAAATGATCTTTTCATAAATGACGGGCTTTGTTTCTTCCATTGCCTTCCAAGTCTTTTTCAGGACCTAATGTTTGCAAAAAAATGTCTTATAGCTATACAGGTTCTACTAGCTATTTCGTGATTACCTAATTGTAGGGCTCACCCGTGTTAAAATATACATAGTTCAATTTAATTACATTTTATTTTTTGCTTTCTTTATTTGAAATACGAAACAATTCACAAGTTTTCAAAATAACTAAAATTTTGCAGTAATAAAACGATAAACAAAATTTCAGAATAATAATAATTTCCCGTCTCCACTATTTCAGCGTCTTTCTTTGCTCAATACTATTTTAAAACTCCGATGAACCCTTTCATAAAGGCCGGGGTTAATTTCTTCAGCAGCCCTTGCATTTTCAATGGCTTGTTTTTCTGCCATTGCGATCATTTCTTTTCTTTTTTCATTTAATTTTTTCTTTTCCTCTTCTTCTTTTCGTATTTCAATTAATATTTTCTGTTTTTCTTCTTCCTTTAATTGTCGAATACGTAAATAGAATTTCAAGTAAAAGAACGTAGTAGTGGTCATTGAACCGTTTGCTAGAAACAGATTTTCTAGGTGTATATCAAATTAGGCATGAATGGTATCTATTTTTATATAAAAAATTTATATACTAAATAATTCTTACCATCATGATTATCATTCACCTCATATTTGATTTTTTCTGATTGCGAGAGGCGGTATAGCTTAACGAGTAGTTTAAGTTCCGATATTGGGGATGTAACTAATACAAAAAAAATATCTCGAAAGTAATAAAGTCATAAAATATGTTTTAATATTTGTATTTAGAACGCTGGACAAGTGTAATTTATTTTATAATATACATTTCTACAATTGAGAAGAAATAACAAAACGTGGAAAAAATTATGTATATTAATATTAGTATTGTATTAGTAATTTACAAAATTACATCACAGTATATATATATATAATTATTACTGTTGAAATCAAAATGTTTGTTCTAAATTATTAAACCAAATATAATACTTATATCATATTTATAATTATTACTTAAAAGATCTTCTGTTATTTTGTAATTTCTAGCAAGCGGGAAAAATTCGTTATAGCTGAGCACACCGTTACTGTCTAAGTCGTACAAAGAGAACTCCTCAATCATATGTCTAACATCAAGAGAAGTGAAACGCTGCAACTGCAAAATCATAATTATACTTAATAATTGATCGGTTAAATTATATAAATATTATCAACACTGTATAAAAATATAATTGTAATTCAATATTACATTTTCATTTTCATCGACTTCCTTATTATATTCCGACACAAAGACTAGTAGCTCTTGCAACTCATTAGCGGGGGGTTCTGTAAACAGTTTATTAAAAATTTTGTTTTTTTAACATGTATATGATTTATCGCTGGGGGTCAGGACTTTAAAAATTGTCAGACCCATAACGCTGGGTGTCACACTCTGATGTCACACTTGGTGGCGGCGGCGGAGGAAGGAGGGGAGGATTAGAGATAAGAGATAATATATTAGGGATTAAAATAGAGAGAATGTATTAGAGATACTAGATTGGACATAAAAATATAAAAATAACGGATTAGAGATAAAAATCGAGATTTTAGGTGAGAAATTAGAGATAAGAAAAGTACCAGTGTCTTATACTTAAACACAAAGACATACACATGCGCCTATGTATCTGGTTGTGCTGTGGGTAATCGTTAGTTTAAATTTTTTTAAAATTAATTATGATAAATTAATTTTAAAGTAATATAAATGTACACTTACGGACGTGATCGAACCTTAATAGCCCCACATATTCATCGGAAACGATTTTGAACGATAGAAATAAGTCATTTAGGCTTTCATTAGGCAAGTTAACTTCAAACAATATATACAAATCGGAACATTTGCTTAGCAGTGCCATGTCTAGACCTTTACCCTAAATATAAATTAAATACGGTTTATTCTTATAACACTGAAATGTTAGCACACATAAGATATCGAGTAAGATATGGTTATACAGCAAACCGTTTTCATACATTCGGTTTATGTTTTAATATGGTCGCCAAGAACATCAGTGCATTAATCGAATCTCCATCTAAAAATAAATTACAGTTTTTAAAATTAACAAACTTGAAATATGTTTTAAATACATTTTTACCATTAAATTCTTTTTTTATGTTGTCCTCAAATTCAGGGTCTAGGTTTAAATATTCGTCTATTAGGCTCACTAATTCAGCATGGGTGAGAAGGCCGTTTGGCTCGCCTTTGTCTACGCCTTTATCTTGTACTTTGCCTTGGCTTTCTGCTTGGCCTTCGCCTTGGCCATTGCCTTTGCCTTCGCCTTCACCTTCGCCTTCACCTTCGCCTTTGCCTCGACCTTCACTTTCCGCTTTGCCTTCACGTTTACCTTCATCCAAGAAGAATAGTGCGTTAATTGAGTCTCCATCTAAAAATAAATGACAATTTTTAATGTTACCAAACTTTAAGCATATTTTTAAAACATTTTTACCATTAAATTCATTCTTTGTTTCCTCTTCATGTTTCGGTTCTAGGAATGAATCGTCGTCTATTAGGCTAACTAATTCAGCATGGGTAAGAAGGCCGTCTGGCTCGCCATAGTCTACGCCTTTGTCTTGGCCTTCGCCTCCTCCTTCACTTTTCCCTTTGCCTTCAACTTCGCCTTTACCTTCAACACCTTCAACACCTTTTTCGTCTTTTTTTTTGAAAATGTTTATGAAAAGATTTACTTCGAAAGTAGTGAAAGTTTTTCCCTAATATTAATTACATAAAAAATAATATTTTTTAACTTTCTTAAGTATTTTGTTATGGAGAACAATATTTTTAGTATGTACTATTTCAGTATTACCTTCCATTGGTAAATTATCTTTTCCAGAGTGCTCAAATAAATTAATAGATCCGGTAAACTTTTGTCATCAATCATAGCTACACCTTCCAATTTGTAGTTGTACTCATTACCATTACTATGAAACTTTTTATCTATAAAATTCGATGTTTATTTAAATTGGTCATAATGAATACATGAGGTTATAAATTGGTTTATTTGTGTAAAATTTGTTATAAACACTTAAGAAATTCATTATAAAACTATTGCTTGCGACTATTAACTTTCAGTTTTTTAGCAAACACTAGTCCAAAGATATGTGCTTTTTTGGATAATATTATGTATTGTAAAAAAATATTCATATCATGTTAATAATTTAAAAAAACAGAACAGTGGTGTCACAAAGAGGTCACAGAATCAAACAATTATCACGACTGAATGCTCACTAAACACTGCGATCACAATATGTATGTATAGTTGTACTGGGTTATATAACTTTAATTTTTTCAATGAAGTAATCATATTAGCTTAAAAACGTTGTCACAAAATCCTTGACACATAGGTAGTCAATTGACTTTTTAAAGTAACCCCTTAGTAATACCTTTCAAAATCATTTTATTAACATAAACAGAAATTTGTTATTATAAAATACGAAACCTTTAAAATTATACAATTATCTTATAATAAAATACTATAAGACAAAAATTCAATAACTCTGACTATCGTAATATATTATGAAAAATATCCATTTACTCAAGTCCTTATCCTTCCGCTTATACTCAACCATTGTGATTCTGTCCACGTCACCATTTTCTTTTCGGTGCTTATTAACTAACTTAACCATTTCGTCGATTGTGTTTTGACTTAGTCCCAAGCTCTGCAAAACATCATATTATACGCTATCTGATAGTATAGGAACTTTAACATAACTAATGTTATTTCTGTTTTAGTCATGACTTTCTTTTTCTTATTCTTAATTTTATTTTCTATGTTTTACTTACCCACGCTGCCGTAAAAAAGTATATTGATACGATGAGTAAAGAACTTTTGAGATACATTTTTTATTATATTATAGTTCTTAAACGAAAATTCGCTTACATGTAAAATAAAATAACCATAGAACAGAATCCAACAAATGCGAATAAATAAATAAGCTGTTAATGTTTATATAGATGCTTAAGTTTGCGGTAAAAATATCTGCCACTATGACTTGGTAATACAAACAATTCTGATAAAAAACAAAATTTGTCAAGTCTGGTTTTATAGCCCATATGTAGCAAAAACATACACTTAGGGTTTAATTTACAATTTTGGTGCACCATGATTCACATGTGGCCTGGTAAATACAACTGTACGATGGTGGTTTGGCAAAACATCTAAAGTTTATAAAAACATGTTTTATAAACTGAAAAATTATAGCCTAGTCCAGTGGCGTATCCACGAGGGGGGGGGGGGTCAAGCTTAATTTATTGTTTCCGATGAAAGATATTTCGGATACATTTGAAAATGACATAACTTATTTAATTCAAAAATATTCTCAATTATTACCATATTTTTCTTCTTTGGTAGTAATCGCAGTACTTAAACTATGGTGGACTACTCTAAAAAGTATGTCTAAAATTATAATATATTAGAATTACTAAATAATTGTATTGAAAACGACTTGACATACAAATGTCTATAAACTTTTAAAAATCGTGACAACTTTACCTATTACAACAGCTGCTGCAGAAAAGTCATTTTCAACATTGCGACGTTTAAAAAGCTATCTGAGAAATACCATGTCAGAAAACCGTTTAATGGATTAGCTCAGATGAATATTCATAGGAAAATTGAAATTAACCCTGAAGATGTGTTGGATCAACTGGCTAAGAAAAAAATTAAAATGTATTTAGTCTTGTAAAATTATTTTACAATACAAATACATATGTAATACACTTATTAAAATGTAATAACCATTTTAACTCAGACTGTCTTGTATTTTCATAATGTCTAAATTTTGAATTAATAATATTTTAAGTTTATTTGTTTTTAATTTTATGATATAAAAAAACAATAAAGTGTACTTTAATAATATTTATGTTATCACTTATCAATCGTTACAATATTATGATATCCTCTTTCTTTTTTTGCTTATTACACAGTTTAGAACTCAGGTCGTTTAAATTTGTTGAACCCCACTCCCAAAAAAGGTCCTAAATACGCGCATGTAGCTGACTATGCATTGACTAATACTAACAAATAATATAAATAAAAAGAACTTCTAACACAACCCAATAAAGTAAAAAAAACACATGTAACACAAAACAGAATACTACATAAAAGATACAAGAAACTAGATTATAAAAACAATAACATTATAAAATCCAACAAATGCAAGAACAACAAAAAACTTGTTTTTGATGACCCAGTTTGCGGTAAGATTATAGGTGACTATGTACTTAATAATAGAAATAAATATATTAAAAAACACATGTAACACAAAATAATATATGTACTAAATGATGATAACAAACCGTTTCAATAGTTTTATCCAATAATGTTGTGGTTATAAAGTAACTAAAAAACTAATTTAACCAATATTTTGACACAAACTAAGGATATCTAATATCAAACAATTCTTTTTTGGATAACGACTAACGGTACCCTCATGTTGTGCTTTAATCCAATATTTTATGACAATAACGTTTAAAATATTTAGTTTATACCCGACTATTCATAAATTAAAACAATTTTAAATTTTAATTTAGTACCATGTTAAAAATATTTGATATTATTAATCTCGTTTTACAAAATGTTTTATATGCTTGGTTATTTGATGGGTTATAATGATTGAGACCGCAAGTAAAAATATAAATCGTATTGTTAAAATTAAAAAAAAAAATGTAATAAATACATTTTAAATTGTTATTAAAAAGGCTATATTATAAATATTATTACATTTCCCAACCGCACTTCCCCCCCCATCCTAACTTTTAACCCCTATAACTTCAAAAACAGTTATCCGAAACTGGTTATCGACCTGTCAAAATTTGTAATACATTAAGATTCGTTAACACGACGACAGTAAATTTCATGACATTAACTATTATCAGTTACTGTCGTCGTGTAAACGCGCCTTTATTCTTTATTTAGAAAGATAATAAAATAAATTATACGTTACCATGTAAGATTTAAAAGTTGCTATCGAAAAATTCAAGTTGAGTGGGGGGTAAAAACAAACAAAATATTATGAAAAACTGCGATCACATTGTATAAAAACAATATGAAAAAAAAAAATTAATTTCTTATTAAACCCAGTGATATATTGTCTGGTTCGTGATAAAATAATCACCCTGTATAGAAGACGTGGTAAAAGTTTTGGGTAACGGAGATTTATGTTTACTAGAATCTGACTTCTGATCACCGACTCACCTAAGCACAAGCGGCGCACCAAGACTTTAAGGTTGAGCATTTGCGAGCGCGTGTGCTTATTGGCTTACACGTGCGCGTTATGTAAAGACGTGGTCAATATTGGCCATTCGTAGGCAGCCACTACCGGACCTCTACCCTTTCCGCACTGTCAAAACCAGGATGTCCAGTCACCTGAGCTTACACGCGAAAGCCCATTACGTTACCAAAGATTTCACTACCTTCGACAGTCCACGCCTCTGCTGGTCACCAGCAATGGAGATGTACTCGGGCTGCAACATGCTACACATGAAGATTTCACTTACCTGTCATCTCATTTTTAAGTCATAAACGCGTTAAGAGTGTCCCTGATACTTTCACTAAAAGTTTTACGTGCTTATAACTAAAAACTATATCTTTATATGATTATTATGACTTGTCTTTATTCAACTGTTTTATAACCATCTTGAGCTTAATTTAAAAAAAACACTATTCAAACATCAACCGTTATACCACGATTGTGTACGAGACCTCTCATCCAGGTTATCCACATTAAAGTTTAGAAAAACAGTGTCTTAACATATATACATATGTAAGTGTTGTACAAATTTCAGAATTTTTAGTTCAAGCCCTAAGAAGTTATAGGCTCTTAAATGTTGCGTACATCATAGGAAATTTACCAAAATATGGTCCAACAAAAAATTATAAATCAAAAGAGTGTAGTCAGAATAAAATATGTTTTTTTTTTAATTAAGACCTTGACAACTTAAAAATGTAATCAAATATATAACATTTTATAAATCTTGTTTTTCAATTTTTAGGTAAAAAAATGGTTTAGTGTTGTTATGAAAAAGAACACTAAA